TACTTATTTTAAATTTCATTTTCGTGGTCTTAATTTTGAACTGGTACCGGCACTATCGAAAAAATCTGTTGCAAATAGTAAACACCTAAAGAGACACGCGCGCCGAACGAAACGCACTGATCGATGTATATACTTTGAAATAAGGCAAAACAAATTACCCGTGTATGGCGATGTTAGAATATCCACTACCCCATATCGTCCGTGGGTATCGTAAGAGGCAACAGAAAGAAATGCATCATCTCGATAGTGGGTATTGTCAAGATAACACTCAAAATTATAGAAAAAACTTCGATTGCCACACCGCCTGCCAAGCATAACTACTGTGGTGAAATCTCCCTGTGATGCAGAAATTGAGGAGGCATATGTTAAAAAATGGACTTTTATATGCCTTAAAGGATGGATTAGATAATAGAAGACCAAAAATATTTGTTAAAACAACGTTATAAATTATCATACGCAGTTTTTTTTGCTTGGGTTATTGTCCAATGTTTGTTTAAGGTCTCTGCCCACTACACCGTCCATACCATACCATGACCGTACTAGGAGCGTATCAGCCACGAAAAGCAACACGATACGCTCTACTATGCCCACTGAACGGATCGACGGCGTTCTGTGCCCGTATACATCCCGTATGATGCCAGTATGCAACCCGTATGTAACCCGTATGATACCCGTATGCAACATCCACCAAAATCAATAGGAATCCGTTTAATTACTACAATGTTAATATTACATTTTATAAACTAGACTATACTAAAATAAAATGCCTTAACCTACTATCTATCTAAAAATAAACTAACAAATAGGTAACTAACCCATGTATTAAATTACTTCAAATAAACAATAATTTAATAAACAAACCTGGTTGTTTTAGTTGTTCCGAAATTTCCTTCCAAGCCATTTCTTTTTTCACAGTATCCATATATTTTGGGTATTTTAGATCACATAAAAATTAACATTTACGTACACATTCTATAAATTTTTCATCCTCCATTTTACAACGTCTTTACATCTCGTTAACTGACAAGAAATGACTAAGTTACGGCAACGCGCTTACAACGCCTATATACTCGTTCGAAGAGTTTGCCCATGGCCTTGAGGAGGCTGATGGGACGATGACTGGAGGGGAGGTTGCGAGGCTTTCCTGGCTTGGGGATACCAATGACAGTTGCCTCTTTCCACTTGGTGGGAAAGTAACTAAGGTTGAAGCAGGCGTTGAAGATAATAGCTAAAAGGGTTAACACCTGCTCAGGAAAGTGTTTAAGGGCTTGGTTGGAGATGCCATCCGCGCCCGGAGCCTTTTTGGGCTTCAGTCCTTTGATGAAGGATCAGATCTCATCATTGGACACAGTGATAGGGTCAGAGGCTGTGGAGGGTGAATTCCGGCGGCGGACCTCATCCTCCATTGTCTGGACTGGATGTAGGAGGGGCTAATCTCCTTCCGATATGATAAAGGTCGTGTAGGCATTGGTTGTTCATGTTGTATGGGATCTAAACGGGGTCCAAATAATGTAAAATAAAAATGAAAAATAAACTTTATTAATTTGTGAAAAATTCAGTAGTGTGTGTAGAAATAAGTAATAGATGTTTCAGGTTTGTTATGTGCGTTAATAAAATCAGTGTTGTGTTAAAAGTGTCTAAATTTGTGCTTAAAATAGTGAGATAATCATAGATTTATATAGGAACATTAATGTCGAATTAAAGTGTAAAATACCTTCAAATTGTGAATTAAACTATTGTACGAGTATTAGTTAAGATATTCATGTTTATTAATAAAGATTTTTAACCATGTGTGTTAGATTTTTACGATTTCTAACTTTGAAAATGTTCTGTAAAATAGGCGTATTTTGTTGAATATCTTAATAAGTTTTTATGTGATAACGATGTAATGTTCTTTTTACGTATTATAAGCCAGTGCTTGACCACAATTCCACCTAGTGGTAAGTGGGGATGCAGCCTTAGATGGTAAATCGTACTGTTTTATCGTAACAAAAGCCTATTCACTTTTGCTTTGATGACGCCTAGATTGTATTTGGACGGAAAAATAGACACCGGCAAATTATTCCAATCCTTTGCTGTACGCATTACAAAAGACGAAGCAAACCGTTTGGTTCTAATGCGTGGAATATTGGTTGTTCGATGGTGGAAAGGAAAGGGAGGAATTAAGGCGTGGAATTCCTGCGCACACTCACCGAAATGCATCCTATAGAATACCGAGAGACTGGCTACTCTGCGCCTGTGCTCGAGGCTGACAAGATTGGTTTCAACCAAATCAAAGTCACCAATGAGCCTCTTAGCACGTCTCTCCACTGAGTCCAATGCTGCCAGGTGGCATTTTGAAGCACCAGCCCATATGTGACATCAGTACTTTATATGTGACAGCAGCAGGACCGGACTTGCGTTTCATATAAGGTAAGAAGCTGCCCCGGCGTGAAGTACCGCTGCACCCTTGCAAAGACACCAAGTTTCCTTGCGGCTGCTTTGGCTCTGGACTCAATGAACTGCTCATAGTTTAGGTTCGGAGAAAATTCAATCCCTAACAACTGAAAGCGGTCAGTGTGTACTCCAAGGATACATTCCGGAAAGTAGGAGCCAAGGTGAGCGGGCTCCTTTTAGCGGTAAAAAGACGCTTGTGTTTTGGTGGCGTTAAATCACACGCTCAACCATAGCCTCTCTTTCTAACTGGATTTGATCCCGACTAGCCCGGGCGCTTGGTTGGTATCTCTCCACAACTGTGCTGTCGTCTGCATACCCATAGACACCGGGAATGAGTAGATCATTTATATGCAGCAGGAAGAGAGTTGCGGAGAGAACGGACCCCAACGGAACACCGGCGTTAGTCGCCACAGTATCGGATGAGTAGCCATCAACGACCACCACTCCAGAAAGTCCTTCACCCAGACAATTAGGCAAGGGGATAAGCCATACGCTGAAAGCTTGCCCAATAGACTAGCGTGACAAACCCAGTCATAGAGAAAGTGGAGTCTTCAAGGTGACGGAGACGCCTACAGCAGATGTCGTTGGGTACGTAAACACAGACTCCGGCGCGCTGATGGAAATTATGCTCCAATGTGTACCCAGTGTAGCCAAGGTACGCCGCATCTAGAGGACATCTGATCTGCGTCTCAGTCAAGAAGAGTAAGTGCGGCTTGTCAGTCTCAAGGTGGTAATGGACTGCAATGAGATTACAGTGCAGGCCTCGGATGTTTGTGAGGTGCAGTAATGGAGAGGGAGTGCAACCACTGTACAAACTTACTCTTCTTTTTCCTTTTTTTCATTAATGGTGGGAGTGAATAGGTTTAGAGAATGGCAGTTGGACGAGGTGACACACATATAACCTAGGGACGCAAACAGAGTCATAGCATCGATGGTGCCTAGCATGGAGATCGCGGGGACGCACGAACCCCCATGGAAATCGCCACCAGGACCTCTCCTCCGGTCGCCAACCGGCATGGTGGAGCCATCCCAGGATTTTTCGTAAGATGGCGGATGCCCCGCCATCTTACGAAAAATTTCATGAGTGGCTGGCTCATCAATTGGGCCCCCAACTATCAGCGGTGCAACCGAGTTTCGGATCCTGCTAACCTCCATAACCAGGCACCTAACACTAACAAACGGCCGCGTTGCAACCGGTCCGTATGCGCAACGCAACTGTACAGACCCATTCTCCCTAAGAAATTGGTTTCATCTAACATCATACCGGAACACGATTTGCATCATTTGGCGGTATGTCTTTGCAAGGTGGGTGGTAACTCACCCTCGTTCAGGCCTCTCACTAATAGAAGACTAACCTACCACCAGTATGTAGTACTGCTCGTTTAGCACTACCCAGGGGATACGTGTAGGGAATCAGGATTCAAGTAATTCCTACGGACGCGAGCAGCTTCATCCCCCATGTATTTCATAATAAAAAGACTTTGTGTGTGATTCTAATAAATAAACTTGTGTAACAATATGTTTTATAGAAATAAAAATATGGGGTAAAATACAAGGGTGCAGTGATGAAATTAATGTTAAGATATGTCGAAATGTCGCGCGATGCGCGGTTCTCTTTCACGTATACGACTCCGTGGCGCAGTGGCTTAACATTGAGTTGCTGCGCTGGAGACCGCGGGTTCGAATCCCGCACGGAACAAGTATTTGTGTGGCCTACAAATAGTTGTTCAGGGTCTGGATGTTTGTTCTTGTGTGTATTTGTGAATTGCCTCCACGATACAGGAGAAAATCCTAGTGTGGGGGTAGCATTTAAAAAAAATAAAAAAAGTATAGCTCGCGACTAGGATAATAAACTGGTAATTTGGCAATTCGTTCGGGATCAGCTACCAGTTTATAGTTTAAATCAAGAGAGAAGAAAACAATAGGGACAGTGGTAGGAAAGTAATGAAAGTTTCAACGTTGCACTCTTATAGGGAAATTACAAAGATAAAATCATTGTTTTATTTTCTAATGCATCTTCCAAATTAGAACAATATACAGTCAATATACAGTAAGAACAGTATACCACTCCAGAGGGACCCGTAATCTTAGTCGTCTAACCTTTCTTTTCAGAAAGAGCAACAGACGTTCTTCTGTGACACTCCTACACGGGAGTCACGTCCACCTCGTTGTTACCGAACCTAATGTGATGTGATTTTAGTTTCACGAGGTAGAATGTCGATGAATGACTGACCCCTGTCTGTTGGACTGACTTATCGTCAAGGGCGGACTGAGGTGTTTGATATCCCAATGTCATAGTTAACCACGGCTACCTCCAGATTAAAATTATTAATTTTTGTTCTAATCTACACAGTATGAACTTACAGTATCATAATGGTTGGGATTTAATTTATCCATATATATTTTTATTTGGGTGAGTTGTCTGAAAATCAATTTCTTAATCCATAGCAATCCCGATACCTCGTGAATGTTGCTAGAGACGATTTGGGAAATGCCCCAAAAATCTTACGACCGTTCGATGGCGTTTATACACAGCAAGAAATTAAAAAAAAAATGTCATTTTTGCAGTATTTTTATTGTGGTATTTTATTTAAATAAATTAAACTTAAAATAATTTTAATCACATAACTTCAGTATAAATTCTCTCGGGCACAATCACCAGTCATGTTGGAAAGTAGCCCCGACACCATAGTCGGGCTTTCCGTGACCAAGTTCTTGTGTCACTGTACCACCAGCCGATAAACGAGTATTTTTGTCCAAGTTCCATACTTTGGATGCTGATGCGTCCAGCTGTAATATAAAATTGTGAATTTACTATACTTGTTAAACACCTTTTAGCAGACATATTTTGAAGATAGATTTTTAAAATTTCAATTTAGTTTTTAAGTTCTGATAAACCGGTTTGAGACGTCACTTAAATGAAAATGTAACTGTACGTTAAAATTTCTTTCGGTAAAAAAAAATACGTCATTACTATTGATCACAAGTGATTTATAAGATTAATATGTAGCGCTTCTAAATTAGAATATCAACACGTATCAATGTTTATACTTAAACCAAATTGTTCATTTTTGAATCAACACCACATGAAGCTTCTTTAGGCCCAATGCGAGCAATTGTTTGTAGTTTTTCTCATGGAATTATAATATGTCGTTCAAAACACATAATTACCGATATAACTAGAACTTTGTAACTCTATCGTCGTAAAGGTCGACTAGAATACATTCATTTTTATATTATATTCAAGTTTCAAATTAAAAATACTTACATTAGTAGGTCCATGTATCTGCTTGGTTAGCTCTAAAGTAGCTCTGGCGTCCTTGTTTACATTATTCCAGTCTAGCTTGCCACCGAATGAACTAGTGTCACCATTGGGTCCTAAGACTCTAGTTCCATGTGCTTGCCCTTCCAATTTTCCTCTAGCGTCATTAAAAATATCTTGCTTGTAACCTCCTTTACCCTAAAATAATTATTTTCCATATACATTTGTTCTTTTGATTTGATAATTATTTTCTTATTTCCAGCTGGACACAGGCCACCTTTCTTTTGAGAGTGTTATAGATAAATTATATTTATTTTATTTAACATTATTCAAAGCTATTAAAAACAACCAAAACTTACGTAAAGTCCTTGATCGTTGCCACCCAATGTTCCGAAAACGGTTCCCTTGCCAACTTGCTTGCCCCATGTCACATCACTGCAACGTTTTTTTGGATCTAGCCTGAAACGTAGAAGGTAATAAAGAAGATAAGAAAGACACAATAATATATGGAGGCTCTGAAAAAAACTAAAAAATCTAAAGTATTGATGCGGATCTTCGATGATTAATTTTATTATGTTTAATATAATGGATTTCCGCAAAATAACGCCTTATCAAATAAATATATACTCAATATAAGTCGCTATTTAAACGTGTTGCAGAAATTCTAAAATAAAGCCGTTTAATAGTTATAGAAAATGAAAAGGCTTTTAATTTTTAGATCATGTTGTGAACATATTTTATAAAGTCGTCTATAGTTTTTATCTCATGAAAAAAAAAACGAAAAAGAAACAAGCCCGGATGATGAACATCAAAGTTGTATTACTGGACTGGCCGAGGCAGTACAGTGCTCCGTCTTCGAGGTTGAACGCAAGCTAACAAGATGAGTGACGATTTAATGCGTTTTGATATAATATTAATTGTTACTTACGCGTAACTTTGCATGCATTCAATAGACATGCATGAACTAAGCTGAAGGCATGCCATAACAGCAAAACCAATAATGGGTAACTGATGACGATGCATTTCTCTGTAATAAAAAGGTAAAAGGCCACATATTAGCAAGGTATAAATAAAGAATGAACACACATTGAATAAATACTGTGGTTTTCATAATTTCATAATTAACAGAAAATAAGTCAAATATCACATTAATTCAGTATTTAAAATTATCATAATGTTAATTTGCATACCATTAATAAAATTCCATACCTTTTTCAATCTTCTGTGTTATAAGTTCAAATGTTGGTTGGTGTCTGTCATGGTAACTCACTATCGCCTGTATTTATATGAGAGTTTTACTAATTTACATTTCCCGTTACCATTAGGGCATAAATGTTTCCAGGGTACAGGGACTTTACCCTCCGTATTTATATCGCGTTTTCCTTATTCGAGTTCAACGCGGTCGTTAAATATATTTTATCTTAGAAGATTAATTACGGGCGGTGAGGCGTACCATGTGGGTGACAACGCATTCTTTTGTTTAACATTGGCTTTAGTTGTCCATTTACTGCGGTAACCTATTGTGAGTTTAGTTTATGAAAAAAATAAAACTATATTATCGTAAAAATTTGAAATTTTTAGCTGACATATGCACGAAGTTATCAATTTGACTGTCTTATTTTTTGTTTATACTTGTATGTTAAGCAAAGTCTGTATTCACTATGAGGCCATTTTAATAATTCTTTTTTTAACAAGGTTGATTCGTTTCAAATTTAAAGAAAAAATCCTATTCTAAGGAAAGAAAAAAAGGGACGATGTTTTTATTATAACTGTATTTGTGTATTATTTAATCCACTCAAAAGTGTCAAAACAATAAATTTTATTTAAATAATTAAAACTAATTTCAAATATCATTTAGAAATATATAAATTTTATTAAATTCATTAATAGACTGCGAGTATGCACAGACTTTAAAATCTATTGTGTAGATATAATTAAGAATTCTTTGAATTTGATCTTTACTCACATTTTTATTATATTTACTAAAATATCAAGATTGGATTGATTATACCTTTTATAATATAACTTAAAAAACTATGATAATACTTACATTATGATTTCCATTTAGGAGTGATCCTTCACTAAAAGAAGCTAACACTGGAACACATCCATGGCGTCTTTGAATCTAGGTTGATCTTAACCGTGCTTTATTGTATTCTACAAGGAAGAACACAACATTGGTTGTATTACAGATACAGGAAAGGAAAAAAAATGTGGTTCCTTCTTTAATTAACAGCCGCGTGTGTAAAAAAAGATAATTCTAACCATTTGTTATTGAAAATTATAATTTTACGAATGAAATTAATTAACTGAAGTCACTTTTATTGCTTTTTAACTAGATCATCCCAAAATATTTCATGTGCGTCCATTTTTAGAAAATAAATACAATACAATATTTCCTATCTTACAATAATGTATTAATAGGTATTTATTTTTATAAGCAAAAGTGCTACTTCTTTCACTTTCACTTCAATTCTTCCCTTATTTTGAGTTTAGAGTAGAGTAGAGTTTAGCTGATAAGAACATAACATTGTCTTTATGACTTCTAAGCGTTATTTTATTAACTTACTGATTGACTTGTTATTGATTACGGCTTAAAATATAAAATATTATATGATATTTTTCAGATAAATCAAACTAATATTTGACTTCTTCACTTCGCTTCTTCACTTCTTCAATCCCCTACCTACGTTTCAATTCTTGCCAGTCAATATTTAAATCCTGTTTTTATCTGTGTTACTGGCCTGCAAAACTATAAGATTTACCGCACTCATCTTGCAGGTCCTTTCAAACTAATACCGTTGCTCCACATTCATAATCGGTAAAAATTGAGTTCTGCAAATTAGGTAATTTCGACTACTGTATTCTTTTTATTGAAGAAGAGGCAAACGAAAAATGAACATACCGTTCTTCTGATGGTTTGCGATGTGTTCGCTGTCGCCCATGAACATCTGGTATACGATTGAAATGGCAGGTGCGTTGCCGGCCTTTTAGAAAGGAGTAGATTTTTTTCTTGTAGGTCCCTAAATCGTATCGGTCCTTAAAAACCGATGGCGATAGTAAATTCAACAGTGTGATTGTGCGAGGCAGAAGATTCCGCTTAAACCGGACGGTTAGTGGACCACCATTCAAATAACTGTGGAACTGTATGTCTCTCAAAATGTCGATGCCAAGGATTCCGATGCTGGCTGAGGCAGCAAGAGGAGTGCCCTGAAATGAACTACGTCAAATACGTCTTTTGAGTGTTAAACTGAACTGCATTTGTTAGTGAGCCATAGCCTCCTTCCTAATTTCACTTAAGTTGAAGTTGCCACTTGAGAAAAAATTAGTACATCCCGTTACATCACTCTGCTGCCCAGGAGACGATGGAGGCTATATAAAAAGGCACGCCTGGTGTTTCAGCACACTTTGCCTAAAGAGGATAAGTGAGAGGAGCTTGTCTTTAAGGCTTTATCCACATGGTACACAAAATCCCTTAAATTGATGCCGGGATTCCATGTTCATTTAACTTAGATAAGGCCTGTGTTATCAGTCCATTAAACTGATGTTTACAAACAGTATTATCAAACTTCATACAGACTTTACTAATTTTTGTGTGTTTTTGTATTAAAAACGATATATATATATATATATATATATATATATATATATATATATATATATATATATATATACTAATAATGGAACTAAAATACAGAATGAAATTTAGTAGGTTCTACAAATCAAACTCTACATTTTATATGCGGCAGAGCAACGCTGCTGTTATATTATGGTTGTAGCACGAATGTGTCAGCTCGATCGGGGAGGACCACATTTTCACAGCATACCAGCTTAAAAAAGCAGAAAGATGCTGCTATGTTTATCGAATGTTGTGTGTAGAACCGATGACCCAGCTTACTTACTGATAACGAAATATTCCATCTTAGTTCACGAGGGTGAACATGCATACTTGCAAGTAATTATACTGGCTAGGCAAGGACACCTAAATTTCTTTCACTTGTTTCTCTGTGGAAAGTTCGTTATAAAAACTGCTATAGAGATTGGCCCTCTGCAGGTCTCAATTACTTTATTGGTGAAGTGGACAAAGCTGACTTTTCACTTTTATGTTTTTGGTGTGATTTGATCTTTTGCCGATTTCGTATTACAAGATATAAATAAATTTAATCTAATTTTTTTATAAAACTGAACTGACAACTAAATATAAAAGAACGGTCTATCTGATGGTAAGACGCTACTGTAGCTCAAAGAAACCTGCAACCACCTTCAAAGATTTCTGAAGACTAAGATGAAAGCCTTACAACTTGTGAATATACTACTTTTAAGACAGGCTCACAGCAGTGCAAGCACTGCCATTTAGTTTAAAAGAAATCGAATGGTAGATTCTATATTGCCGATCTTATTAAGGTTAATATTGGTCATATTTTTGGTCTATTTGTTTTTATTTTATTTATTTTCCTGCAGGTTTATTTTGACTCTCAGTTTAATACATAATAAATACATTTGTATGGCGAGCACTCTCTGTTATTCTCCACACTTATAAGTAAATACAAATTTAACCAAAAAATATTTTGACGTTGTTTTAAAACCAATAAGAAGTATTAACTATTATGTTTTATTTTTTATTGTAATGCTATTTTTAAACCACAACTTTAATACCATTACAAAAGTTGATAAAATGATTGCTAAAAACTACACGATACACAGCTAGTGGCTGAGATTTTTTGTGAATATGTAGTTTAGTACTACTTATATAAAGGCTTCGCTCGTCATTGAAAAGAGTTCCATATACCTTCTATACCCGATCTCCTTTGTCCATTGTTACATCCCGTTGGTGATAAGAAAGTTATGAAAGTTTGTAATATTTATAGTAACTGAAAGCCATATTTAAGTTGGTTTTTATGTTTTCGTTGGATAATTTTGTTTTTAGTTTTTGTTGATATTTAAAAATATTTATATAAATAAAAATCATATGTAGAATAAATCACAATCATAAACATTTATTACCGTGATTTAATCTACACACCATGTGGTAATGTGAGGCATAATTAATACATCTTTAATAATTGTAAATAACATTAATAATTCTATTTATTACTAAATTCTAAAATTTAAGCGATACAATGTAAATGGTATTGAGTAAAGTAATACCCGTTCCACACGTATCGGCTAACCCTCTAACGAGCACTATAATTCCAACAAAGCCAACTTTACTAACTCTCACAATGTACCCTATTACACATCAGACTATTTTATTTCGAAGCAAAATGATGCATTAATTTCAAAGTAGGTACTCGTACTTCTGATAAAAACCCTATATGCTGGCACTACAAGATCGCCCAACCGTCCAACTCCTAAAACCAAGTTGGACGTTGACGTCAAAACATTTTTATTAGATGAAGTGCAAACAAAGTATAAATTCTTACTTCTCTTTGTAGCTTTGGTGACATAGATACTTGAGTGGAAACATAGACCGTGAATGCAAATAAAACAAAGAAAACTCTGTAGTCCATTTCAAACTGGATGTGGCTAAAAGTTTTAGTACGAATACTTTACTCTATCATATAGATATGAATATACCGGTTTAAGTTTCTAGTTTGTTTTTATAATACACAGTTCCAGTTTCTACAGACCGGTGAACTCCCTATGACTTATCGCATTAGTGAGCATTCAACGGAGATTCATGATTCATATGACTTTGAGTCCGAATATTTTAAGTTGTAAGTTTATTTATAGAAATTGATCTCTGTATTTGCTGTTTTGGTTTTGATAATTACTTAACTGATAAGAAGACATACGATTTGTGGGTAACCCAGAGTAACATATGCTACTACGTGGTACATCCACGAATCAGCTATATTATGGTTGTAGCACAAATGGATCGGCTTTACCGGGGGAGTACCACTCTCTCACAGAATACCAGCGTAAAATAGCAGTTGAACGCTTTAGTGTTGAGTATGATGAGAGTAGAAAACCAGTAAATCATTTTAGTACCTATGATATATTTCATTTTAGTCCTGAGGGATGATAAAGCATTTGCATTTTAATTCTTATCCAAGGATCTGTGGGCCAAAGTATGCACTTACCAACATATGTTTTTTCATATAACAAGGGTGACAAACAAGCACACAGTTCACCTGATAGTAAGTGGAGACTATCGGCCATAGACATATACATTAATATTCAATTAAAAATGTAAATCACCCGAAACGTCGGGTTTTAAAAAGGTCAATTAAACGCGATAAAATCCGTAAAAATTAG